ATATCATAGGGAAAAGTTTGGATTTCTTGTTTTTCTTTCTTATTGTATGATAACTCAAAAACCAAAACAATAGTGTCAACATAGTTTGAAACGGAGTATCCGCTTTTACAAGTATTATTAATAACTTGTAGTAATTTAAAAAAATCATAATTATAGTGTAAATGATGTTATCATTACCCCTTGAAGTTAGTTATTTTACAGACATTTTGTGTTCCCTTAAAAAATTTAAGCACAGGGTGTAACAGGAATTACTAGCCAATAATATGCAATAAATATTACATTTGGAACCTCATTGTATTTAAAACTTGGTTATAAATACAACCTTCCTATGTCTGGATGAATAAATACCGCATTAACAAAACAAGTAAAGGAAAAAAAAAGTAAGTAAATGTAGGGATGGCTAATACCAATCCTTCAAAAACAATGTAAACAAGATAGTAGGGATGGTATTTGCATTATCCCTACAAAATAGCACAGGCAAGAATTAACATATAGCAATATATATATAACTATTCAATCACAATCGAGTTTAATATATCCTATTTTTGTCTGTTAAAACTCTACTATACTGTGCCATTATGCAGGGATGATGCAAATGCCATCCCTACCATCTTGTTTGCATTCTATAACCTGAGCACTTTCAAAAGGTGGGCCTTCCTTCATCAGGGGAAACTGGAGAAGAAAGGTCCACCTTTAGAAAGTGTATGGGTTATAGGTTTTTTATCAAGACTTCTAGAACCTACTTGTTTTTCTGACATCATGAATCTTGTTTGCATTGTTTTTAAAGGATTGATATTAGCCATCACTACATTTACTTCCTTTTTTGAAATATTTTTCTTTACTTGTTATTTTTAATCAAATTACTAAAAACATACATTTACCTTGAATTTGTTACAGATTTTTATCAGACGAGTGGGTCAAGCAATGTGACAGTTGGTTTTAACAATACAGTGTTTTTTACCAAAGTGTGTATATATTTAAGGCTTAGAGAACAATATTACAATGTGACAGTTGGTTTTAACAGGTGTTTTTTAACATAGTGTGTATACCTAAGGTTTAGAAAACAATATTACAATGTGACAGTTGGTTTTAACAAGTGTTTTTAACATAGTGTGCGTATACCTAAGGTTTAGAAAACAGTATTACAATGTGACAGTTGGTTTTAACAAGTGTTTTTAACATAGTGTGTATACCTAAGGTTTAGAAAACAATATTACAATGTGACAGTTGGTTTTAACAATAGTGTTTTTTTAACAAAGTGTGTATATTTAAGGCTCAGAAAACATTACAATATAACAGTTGGTTTTAACAGTAGTGATTTTTAACAAAGCATGTATATTTAAAGCTTAGAGAGAACAATATAACAGTTGGTTTAAACAAGTGTTTTTTAACAAAGTGTGTGTATATGTAAGGCTTAGAAAACAATATTACAATGTGACAGTTGGTTTTAACAAGTGTTTTTAACATAGTGTGTATTCCTAAGGTTTAGAAAACAATATTACAATGTGACAGTTGGTTTTAACAATATAGTGTTTTTTAACAAAGTATGCATAACCAAAGTTTAGAAAACAAACACATTTACAATTTGATACCACAGTTTTTTATCACATGTTGCTTTAATCACAAAAATAAAAAAGTAACAGATCTATTACTGGAAACAAAATATTTGGTGAAAGCACCCAAAGCTTTGTACATATGGGCCCACATTATGTGATACCCATTTGACACCTTTTGCTGTTAAGTGCTAACTACACCTCCTGCCCCTTGGTGATAGGTTTCCATTTCAAAACATGTTTTTAATTATATGCATTTTAAGTGTACATGAGGCATTAAATGCCAGAGTAATTACTTTATGACATTTTAACAGCCTGATGTTTAAACTTAAGGAACATATACACTCAATAAGGCATTTTTTCAATCCCTCAAATGAACTTCACAGTAAGACTGTATTAAGTTATTCAAGACTGTCTCCAACTAAACATGATTTCCTGATCCTTCTCTGGTATTATCTGAAGTAGGTTCACTGTGCATGTAAAAATTAACTAATTTTAACATAACAAAATGACTGTGCCTTTTTATAGGATTTCCCTTTTTAGTTGTGACTGACTCAGGGTTGTCAACCTTAAAATTTTGTTTTTACTGACATCATTTTACATTTTTCTTCTAAATGTCCATAAATTTACAGATGGTTTGCAACTATGGACTGACCTCACATGATGGCAGGTATTTAACAATGATAATACTAAAACTATAAAAAAAAGTTATTTGAATGCACCTTTAGTGGATGAATAATCAAAATACTTGGCTAACATAACCAGTAATGTGTTTCAGGCAGTCAAGAATTCAAATGTTAAATCTACATGACAAAAACTTTCTTTCTATATGTACCATATTCAAACAGGACATTGGTGGCCATGGTCTTCCACAGATCTCTTCTCCTTCAGGCACAAATAATATCCAATGTTGATACATTCATACATTTAGACAGACTCTTGACATAAGTCGACCTCTGTCTTCCACGGTCTTTCCAGTTATGATCAGACTTTCAACTTCTGAAAAACTCCAACCATCTTTTTCTGATGTTAGTCAGCATCTTCCCCCTGCAACCTGCTCTTGACAAAGTATCTTCAAAATGTGCCTTAGAAACCACAACTCAACTGCTTCAACTCTTGTTTCCATACTTGACAATATTGTACAACATTCTGATGCATATGTGAGAACTGGTGTAACATAACAATCTAAAACTCTTAACAAAAAATGTAAGTGGTGAATATTCTGTTGGTGAAGGTAAACCAACTTTGGATTCTTGTAATATCTTTCAAATCTTTGTACGTCAGTTTTAAGTTGCTTTCACTACTGCCTCTAGATTTCATTCATTTACTGGATATAAAACACAATTTCTTATTTAAATATATACAATATAAAATTAGAGCTACATTTATAAACCCTTTAATTAAATTATTGAAATATGAAGATTAATGTATGTGTGTGTCGTGACTGTATTTAATGAATACTTGAAGAAAACCAGGCAATTTGGGGGATGAAATGTCACTAAAACATTTTCAAAAAACACATGAAACTGTAGTATAGCAGAGGAAGACAGTTTCTCCAACGTTTTTCTTCTGTGGAATATAGTATACATGTGACATTCACAATAATTATGTCACATTTTTTTGCCCTACCCATGCTTGTTATTTTCTACAGCAAGCTGATGATTTGGTACTGTGTTGTAGAATTCTCATGTTGATCTTCCACAGCCTAAAGCACATTGGTACTGTTAGAGCATGTTCAAAACACAGATGAGTGACTGAAACACTATAACCAACCTATCAGATCAATTTAATAATGTTTTGAGTTAAATGTGTTTGGTTCTTTGTTATGTTCATATCAGTACAATCTGTTTATTTGTTCGTAGCTTAGCTGATCTGTGTACTTTCAACTCTCAGATAATACCAGAAATGGATATGATGAAACAGAAATTATTTATAAGTTATACCAGACCTATCTGTAAGGTGAAGTCTGATTTTAATTTTATTTTGGATGATTACTGATTAGGATAAGCTGCCCTCTTCTGTCAATACCAGTAGTAACGATGACATTTGAACTTTGTGATTACAGTTTATTTTGATTTACATGCCCTGGAGATGCTTACTTGTTTGATAAGTATTTTCAGTAGTTTCATCTGCTGTTCATTACTAGATTTACAATTACTATCTGCACCTCAACTTTGCACTTGAGCAGTAAATCCCAGTCACTAATTACACCAAAATGAAATTAAAATCAAACTTCACCCCATTGTCTAATTATTTTATGAACCAATAAATATGAAACATACTTCAGTCCAAGATACATTTTAAGTGTTCCTATTTTAAAGTAATTATGTATACCTAGATATATGTACACAACAGGTTTTATATTTAAACATTTGCATATCTGCTAATATTTTATTTTCATATTGATATTCTTAGTCAGCCTGAACATGTTTTAAAACCACTATATTCAAAACTTTGCTTGCATATATGAAAAACCCAGAACTTCCATATCATACTGAACTTAAGAATACACCAGTTTTCTATACAAGCTCTTTACCAAACAATGTAGCTTGAAAGTTTTAGTAACTTTCATATTTCAGCACATTTACTTTACTTGAACAAAGTCGTCCACAGCTTTGGATATTAATTATTTAATACTGTTCACAGAAATGTAGAACAGACTGGCATAGCAAATTCAATAACATAAAAAGCACCAAAATATACTAACTGTAACAAAAATACTGGCTCTTGCAACAACAACAATAAGTGTATAAATCGAGATTACACCCATGGAAACTTAATGAACAAAGAAATTGGACTCTTTCATTTGAATATGATGGTAAAAACTATGACAGACCTCAGTCAGGCATTAACTACTGTTTTTCAAGTAACAAACTCGTGGACACGATCAGGTTCAAATCTGTGGTACTCCACTAGATGGCGCTTTACACCTGCTTGTGATGAATACACATTTCTACAAAACTTGCACTTAAAAAACACTTCCTGAGTCAGAACATTTGAATTCTCATATTCCTCTACAAACATAGCTTGAGGATTATCATAACCAAGTATGCTTGGTGGGGTCAAATTCTGAAAAGAGTTAGGATTTACCATATCAGCCGGTCGAGCCATGCGATGTAAACTTTGATCTCTGTTTGGAAGCTGCAGAAATTCAGTTTGGTGTCTGTCAGCTTCTATTAAGGACACTGGAATAGGTATGTTGTGACCTACAGGAATCTCTAACATAGAATTGGTTGTTTTATCAAGAGTCAACTGGTGAAATTCACTCACTTGGAGATCCTGTAAACGGTTGCTGTGAACATTTAGAACAGGTATGTGGTTTCCTTGCAGATTTCGCTGATCTCCTTGGCTGACGACAAGAATTTGAAGAGAATTTCCAGGTGGAACTTGAATTTCGTGTTGTTCTTCCCGAGTAGCTGGCAGGACTGATGTAGATATTCCACTGGCTTGGTTTTGTATTGGAATTGGAGGTCTTGATAGAGAGTACTGAGTAGGAAGAGAAGGCATGTGAGTGTCTGAAACACTAATCACGTGATGATTTTCCAGGGTATTAGGATCCAAAGGTGAGGAATGGTTGTTCACTTGACTTTCAGAATTTGGTCTTGGCAACATAGAAACAAAATGCGACTCTGCAGTAAAAGAACCACTATGCACAGGTACAGTGCGTTTTTCTAGAAGACTTGAAGGTTCATGGCTATTTGTATGAAACTGTTGAAGATTTCCTTCATGGTGGCTGATTATTTGAGATTCTTGTCCATGATCTGATGGAAAGTGGCTTTCGCCATCTTGTGTCTGAGGGAAATGACTGTGATGGATGGTCACATTAGGTTGGGTTGAAAGAACAACATTAAATGGTTCCTGTTGAAGGTCTGAAGATATCTTGGGATCTTTTTCATGTTGAAAAACATCCAGAGACTTGCTGCTTCTACTGGATGTTACAGAAGGACATCTTTTCCTTGGACGAGATTTTTTTCCATCTGCATGAGTCTTCATGTGGTTTTTAAGTTCCTGCTTTTCAAAAAATGCTTTGCCACATTTTTCACAAGAATGAGGTCGCTCTCCGCGGTGTCGACGAACGTGTTTTCCCATATTTCCTCTGGACAGAAATGACCTTCCACATATTTCACATACATGAGGCTTTATCCCTTTATGGAAGTCCTTGTGCATTTTAAAATTAGTTTTTGACCGAAAAGTCTTCTCACACTGGTCACACTTATATGGCCGGATATCACTATGTACAATCATGTGACTGGTCAGCTCATGCTTCATTCGATACTGTTTTCCACAATAGTTACACTGAAAAGGGCGTTCCCCAGTGTGGATCCTAATGTGACCAACAAGAGAATTTTTATAAGCGAATGTTTTCTTGCAGAACTCACATTCAAACGGCCTTTCTCCAGTATGTGTACGGTAGTGAACTTCCATACTACCTTTGGAACGAAAAGAATTTCCACAGAACTCACACATAAACGGTTTATTACTGGTGTGACGGAACAAATGCTGCTGAAGCTCAGAGTTCGATAGGAACCGCTTTCTGCATTTTTCACATTCAAAGTTTCTGTCTGGGTTACTATGAACACGTAAGATATGGTTATTTAGGGCCCCTTTGCTGGTTACTTTAACACCACACTGTTCACACTGGTAAGGGTTATCTTCACTATGGCTTAACTGTGGAAACAGAACATTTACTTGTCTTGCAGATATTATATATCATAGCTGTTACAAACAAATTAAAAGCAAATCAAATATTAACTGGCTCACAGTACAGCAGAGACTAAGGTTTTTATTTGTTAAAAATTGTCTCAATTATACTTATTCATAAAATTAAAATATATATCTAATTACAAAACTCCAAAAGTAACTCATCATAAACATAGCAGTAAAACCTAAAATAGCAAAGTTTACTCCAAGTTTCATTATACATTCAAACTTTGGTTTCTTCTTATCATGTTACTTTCAAAGAGAACACACACAAGTATTTTGTCTATTCCTTGTTGCTACATATACCAATACTGGATATACAATGAGCCAGTCAGGTGTAGTACTAAACACACAATGAGCCAATCAGGTTTTGTAATTAAATAAGTATATTATATATATACATTCCAGAGGAGTGTCATATTGATTCACACCCTGATAACTAAAAACAAGTACCATATAATACATGGGAAAGCTTAATAAGTTGTAAACACTTCATAACTACACTTACTAAATGGCTTTTCCAAGAATACTCCCAACGGAAAGCTTTTCCACACACTTCACATTTAAATTTCTTCTCACCGCTATGTATTCGAAGATGATGAGACAACTTAATTGGGTTTGAGAGCCACTTTCCACAAATCTGACATTGACATCTATTAAGTGACAAAAAAATAATCTTATCACCTTCTATCTTTTGTTCTATAGACAAAAACTTTAAGAAGCATTTGTTTCATTAACTTAGTTGTAATAAGCGTATATTGGAAAAGCGCTTAAAGAACATACATTTTTAGGCTTGTGATAAACATCAGGTTAACAGCCAAAGTTCCTCTTAATAAGCTCAACTGACAAGTTCTGATATTGAGTAAGGGTCTCTTGGCCAGTGATTTGTGGGACACAAAAAGAGAGATCAGAAAAACTATTTTTATGTTAAATCTGCAACGAACAAACTACGACAAATGTGTAAAAAAAATATCTGCAATTAATGTGATTTTTTATTACAAATTTTAAGTATATTGGTTTCTAATCTTACTAGCTTTTGCCATATTTACTGTAACATATATTTTTGTTTCAAATTAACTGGCAATTAAAATCCATTTTTGTAAACTGTTACATAACTGTAACTATTAACTATATACCAAACATCTTATTAATTATATACCAAACATCTTATTAACCATATACCCATCATCTTATTAATTATATACCAAACATCTTATTAACCATATACCCATCATCTTATTAACTGTAAACCAAACATCTTACTAACCATATACCAAACATCTTACTAACCATATACCAAACATCTTATTAACCATATACCAAACATCTTATTAACCATATACCCATCATCTTATTAACTGTAAATCAAACACCTTATTAACCATATACCAAACATCTTATTAACCGTATACCCAACATGTTATTAACCGTATACCAAACATGTTATTAACCGTATACCCAACATCTTATTAACGGTGTTGTGGGATTATTCTAAGTTACAATGATGTATAATAGCTTGTGGGATTACTCTAAGTTACACTGAGGTATAACAGCTTGTGGGATTATTCTAAGTTACAATGATGTATAATAGCTTGTGGGATTACTCTAAGTTACACTGAGGTATAACAGCTTGTGGGATTATTCTAAGCTACACTAATGTATAACAGCTTGTGGGATTATTCTAAGTTACAATGATGTATAATAGCTTGTGGGATTATTCTAAGTTACACTGAGGTATAACAGCTTGTGGGATTATTCTAAGTTACACTAAGTTATGAACGTTCGAGAAGTAAATAAAACTTTCCGAATAAAAACGTGCCCTAATCACATGTTTTAGCTAGCAGTAGCAATTCCATTAAAAACAAAAAAATATTATCTTATTTCATATAATTATTGTGTACTACTATGTATATTAATTAGATTCCTTTCTATGTCCATTGTGTCTACATATACTATTAGAAAGGCTTAAGTCTTGTCCATAAACTGTAAAAAGGCTTATGACTGCAGTTTACTGATGTAACTTCATACTAATTAGTTACAACTAAACTTGGTCTAAATTTAAAATAATTTATTATAAAACTTAGTGACATCATCATTGATCACAAATTTAATAATTTTATATGAAACTATTTTAATAAAATTACTATTGACCGTTTTTTCTATGTTCATTCTATTTAACTATTAATATTATCTGAAATAAACTACATTAAAAACAAATGAAAAACTGTACCTTCTGTTCTTTTTCGATGTTGTTGCTTTTGATTGGTCATTTTTGTCTGAATCTCCTTCTGTATATTGTTCATCCTGTAGTTTTGAAAATTTAGTCTTAGATTTAATTCTACAGGAGTTGGCTGGGGCATCTTCATTATCCGAAAGATCATTCAGTATCTTTTGTGGAACAGTAAGCTTCCTTTTCTGGCGAGGACGAAGACCCATCCTAGGGCCTTCATTCGTTTTTGACATTTTGTTTTTAGAGGTATCACAAAACCTTTTATTTTCTGCATTTCTTAAAGTTTCATCCTTAAAAATGTTCTTTACAGACATATCTCCAGTTTTCTCTGTGTCATTCATCTTATCTATCAAACAGTTATTGAAAACGAATACATTGTTATGTGCGTTACAAATATTTTTTTTTATCTGGTTATCCAACCACATTGTACTGTTTATATTTCCCGTTTGATAGAATTATATTAAATAATACACATTTCAAACAGCATATTCTTTCTACTATACAAAATAGGTATACAAAGTTTGAGGTTCTTAAAAAGTTTGTGAAATATATTCATAACATGTTTCTGATAAGAAAATGTGTTAGTCATTTATTCGTGCCCCCCTCCCCCGAGAATTCCTTGCGATATGATGTAAAAACGAATATAATTTTTCACAAAGGCGGTAAAAACTGTGATGTACGTTTTGAAATACCAGCATAAATTTTAGAACAGTCACTCCAGAGTATGTAGTAATTTGAATTGTTAAATAGTACCTTACTAGAAAACGTTGAGGGAGGGGGGAGTTACCCTTCAGCTCAGTTGGTAAACGTTAAATACCACACGCAGCTGCACAATAACTATATAAGCATAACTTTTTTACATAATAAAAATAAGGTGTTCGGACGCCCCCTCCCTCACGTGTATGTGCGTGATCATAATAAGAATAAAAAAAGTACTGTGACACATTGGTACGTTTATAGTATTTCCAGCTTATAGTAAACCACTGTGTGATCGGTTGGGTGTGTAAAAAACACTGGTTTCGTGAGTATGATGAAGTGGTAATCTTTGAAAAAAACGTGTGCAGGTTTCTCTTTGTGCGCCTAGAGATAATGGAAGTTTGTGTTTTGTATCCCATGATTTATGTGATTTTCTTTAGATCACATATAATGCACATTTGTATAACGTAAATTAATTCAAAACCGTTGCTTCCTGTGTTCTTCTAATTGTAACGTATCACCACCCCTTACGTGCGTACTTCACTCAGATTCCAAGATATTCTAAAACCTCAACCCTGTCGATCCTCCTGGTTTATTTGTATCAAGTAATCTCGAAAGCTACGCAAGAGCAACCTGCACTAATAGACCTTAATTTTGAACTGATAGATTAGAGGAAAGGTAGATAATCAACAGCATCCACCGCCAACTCTTGTATAGGTTATTATGCAACCACGGCGATTTTGCGGCAACGGGCCTCGAACCAGGACCTTTGGATTCACGATCTTGAACACTAACAACTTAACCACACCAAGCCCCGAAAACCCTTCAATAAAATCCTGAAGACGCCATTAAGTTCAGCTGATCATTTGTTTTTCAGTTTACGTTACTGAAGTTTTTTTAAATATTAATAAATTTTACAAAATTATCGTTTGTGCTATTTTACTTTTAAGTAACTATACTTTGATATATTAGTCTCTGAATCTATTAGTATTATTTTCGGGAAAGGTAATGACTCAGTGTTTATATATATAAAGAAATAAAACTGCACAAGCATTTAGTAGCAACGGAAAAATTCATTACATACACACACTTATTTAATTCCGATGAAATATACAGTGTCAAAATAAGTTTTTAAATTTCTCTTAGATAAATTTCTGACAGTATTTAGTCCTTTTTTTAAAGCTAATAATATGGATTTTTAAATCAAATTTCGACTACACTTATTCTGGGTACTTATGTAATTAATTTATAATTATAATATATATATATATATATATAAACTGATTGTTATATCTTTTTTGAAAAAATATAATTATTAGCCGCCAAGTACGATCTCCACCAATGTCAAGATTCTGACAATGTGACAACTGATAATATTACTTAGTTCAAGTATAAATTACCAATACTTCTTTTATCAGACATTCCACCTTAAAATACACTGTTTCCGATAGGTTAATACATGAAAATGTAATATAAATATATTATACATATACATAATTTCACTTTCGGAATGCACGTTACACGACCATTTTTGATTAATCGTATTATACGTAAAGACAAGCCTCGCCCTTGGAAAGCAGTAAGCCTACTCTTTGATTTCGATGTAAAAGGAACACGCTAGTCATTCGTTTGAACAAAAAAATCATGCATATAAAGGTAAGTTGTTTAGGTAATGTAATAAATATATTAATTACAGTAACCTTTACCTTTTTGTTTCGAAATTTAGTAGTTCTGCAAAACTTTTTTCATAGCACAGCCCACGCTTAACCACCATTATACACGAACAATAGTGTAGCTATTAAGTAGTGGCCACGCCTTAACCGATTGTCCTGTCACCTGGTGTTCATACAAGATACATTTGTATTTTGCTTATCTTAATATGTAGCACAATATTATACAAATTTTTGTAAGTTTATTTTACCGTAAAGCCACACAATAAGTTATCTGCGCTCTGTCCACAGCGGGAAATCGAGCCCCGAATTTTATCGTTGTAACTGCGTAAACCTACCGCTGACCCACAGCAGGCCTTTATAATATTTGGAAATATAGAGCATAAGAGTACATTTTCGAAATTCAGTTGATTATTGTATTTTACCTTTAATGTTCATGCCTGTAAGTCTTAGATATACTAAAAAGAATAAGTAAAATTTATTTTTATCATAAACTGTTATTACTGTATATACAATTTAACTGTGGTTGTTGTTTTTTTTCATATTCTTCTTACTTTGTCTATTACGGCTCTAAATGAGAGGCGTGTAAAAAGAAATAGCATTTCAAATGTATCTTTCGTCTTCCACAAGTCACAACCCATTAAGCTTTTCGTTCAATATCAGAGCTCACCAGTTGCTATTTTATTCATACATTTTATTTTGAGCCATAATGGACAAAATAAGAAGAATGTAAAAACAAAAATCTGAAGTTCACTTGTTTTCTAACAATTGGTTTTCCAATATTTCACCGTTTATACTTAATCATTTAAAATTTTAAACTGCTTATATAAATGCTAAAGGTGTTACGATACAGCGAAGATACGATTTATGTAATTTCACGAAATTTGGCAAGCTTTCAGTAACCATTAAATTCTTTTGTACAAAAAAAAATCTGAATTTCTAAAAATGTATTTTTGGCTAAAAATTAATGATTCAATAAAGGAAGATGAGTATTACATGTTATCTTCATTTCTTTTATCAAAAACATTACATGCAAATTAACAAATACAAAATAGAGAGACAGATATTAACTTTTATATTTTACTTCTCTTGCCAGCTGCCATTTAATTGATCAAACCTGAGAATTCGAAAAAGCGCAATGTTAGTAATATAGATAATAAATTACAAACAAGACTGTCAAACTTTATAACAAACCGCTGGTAAAACTTCTATATCTAGATACGTATCATAACGACTACTAAGATGACATACACACCCATAATAAATACCGTTTCATAGCAATTAGTTCTCATCGTTCAGCCAAGTTAATGATTCTTGGTATTGTATGAATAGCGTATTTATGGGAGATCTGAAATATTAGTTAGTTTGTTTTTAACATATCTGAACAAACTAAAATGAAAGTAGGCAAAAACGATTTGCCATTAGGTTGTTTTTATTGGATATTTTAGGTTTATTGGTTTCCGATATCCCGCCGGCTTTCGGTATGTCCCCAGTGGCTCAGCCGAAAGCTTTATAACGCTAAAAGTCTGGTTTCATACTTTTGGTGGGCGCAGGATAGCCAGCCCATTGTGTAGCTTCTGCGCTTAGTAATAAACAAACAAAGCATTCGGTGTTTAAACTGTGACTTTTGTAACTAAGTTTTTGCAGGAACGATTTATCTTTCGGTTATTTTTCTATGATACACAACAGTCAAAGTTTACTATTCCTGGAGTCTTAAAATTGTTAAATTTATTATCGTTTATACGATATAATGGCAAGAAAATAGTTATTTCAAATGCGTTTGACAGGATTTGAAGTGTGACGTTCTGACACGCACAACATGAACATAAGTAACTGTACAGTTTGATATCTATGTCTTGTTTGAGGCAAATTTTGAAATGATAACCTATTGTTAAAATATTCTTTATGTTTTCCTGTTATTAAATTGTGTGGACTTCCAAAATAAGTAGTTAGTGTATTTCCTTGAGATTTTGTTTAAAATCTATCTATTACAATACACAACTCCATTACTATAATTAAAATTCCTTGTTAGTACAAGCTCAAATATTAAAAAAAAGCATGAGATAAATCAAGAACATTCTTTTATAACCAGTTTTATTTCATAAATTTTACTTGAATTTTTAATTCTGAAATTAACAATATCTAGTACAAAAATATAAACTTTGTCTCTCCTACATACTTGTAACAAAATGTTTTACAGAATTTAAAAAAAATGTATTGGCATTTATACAATTCTACATAACACATAACAAAAAAACTTAATTGTATAATTTAGTTTGTGAGAAAGAAAAAATTTTTAGTTTTTATAAAAGTTCTAGACAAATTGATCACACTCTTCTAAACCTACAACAGCATTCAGTGTATATTTTGACACTAAAAACCACTAAGTCACACATTAATGCATATTTTTTATATAAAAAGAAACAAAAGCTTGAGCACGTTTGAAGAGTGGTATCTTTATCTTCTGCTCTACAGGATGGATGTAGGTTTTTGACCATTTTTTGATACTAACTCAGTTGAAAAGAAAAATATAAGGCACAACAGCTGAATGTATATTTCCAGTGAGAAAAATAAATGTACAAGTTTTTTTAATTGAACACATTATACATAACTAATCTTTCTATTTGTAGTTTATTATAATAGCTGATAAGTATTTATAAGTCATGAAATACTGACAAAGGCTTTATCAAAGTAATTAGGTTTTGAAGAAGCATTTATGGTTTGAAAACAGAAAAAAAACTAGTCTCTATTATCATTATGGTCTTGAATATACAACTATTAAATAAAAGACTTCATTATAAATATCTCTAGTTGTCTTTACTTCAGACAAAGGAAGCAGCATTTTAAGTTGGTTAGTAGGGCACGAGATACCAAATAAATCACTTTACCAGCAGATAAGGCTGATATTTTGTTTCATACTTAACGAAACAAGGCACATGATTATAGAACTAACATTTTTAAGTAAATATCACAGCTTTTATTCAAACCATAGGAAACAAATGGATTATACGTGTAACCTAGCATTAAAATTACATCTTATTGTTTTACAACTATATAACATCATACACACATTCCTTCAAAGAATGAAACAAACTTTCTTTGTTGTTAATTGAAATGGGCAGTTTTTAATAGTCTTATCATTAAGGTGTTATTTTCATGTCTGGTACAATACTGTCTAATCAATATGCTTAATATTGTCCTGAATAACGATGGGTTACATCTGCCCTGACTCACACTTAACAAATCTGTAAAAATACCTGCACTACAGTGTGTGTGAATAAAGAATTTTACCAGAAGTTTTTAACACACAAAAATACTGAAATATCCACAAAACAATCTTTTTAACACAGAAACAAGAGTCAGTTGCAAATATATCAATATGTCCAGTTTTTTCAGTACTTAACTAGGAAAATATTCAATATCTGTATGAAAGATAAACAAAAATAATGCTGTCTTCTTCTTTTGTTAGAAATACAAAACATTAATTCTCTACCAAATATAAAACCAGCACCAAATAGTATCAAACAATAAGGACAACCTCGTAGAATATAGTTAAGCAAACAATGCCGATAAAAATTATTTAACACCTATGGTTTCTTACTTAAAAAATGCAGAAGATTTTACTTATAAATTTCTAGATGGCATTACAGGAAAAACTCCGTGGTTGAAAGATTTATTCTACACTGATTATTTAGCAAAAAAATAATAACAATAATATATTACATACATATAACTTGTTACATTTAGTATTCATGTGTATACATAAAGAATTTATGGACTTTGTTACAAGTTTTGACCATTAGCTGATAACTGCTTGAAAATATCGCAATTTAAAAAGACTCGTACAAAAAATATAAGGAAACATGGGTAAATCAAGAAGAGTGATCAGCATTAATGTTACAAAACTATAAAAATAAATGTTAAGCAAATTTAGACATAAGGAGCACTACGACATAACCCAAAAATCTAGCACTACTGATAACTGAAAAATCCAAGTTACAAAAAAGCTCATTTGGTACAGTTCAGTGATAACTCATTCGGTACTTCCAGGTTCAGTGATAACTCATTCGGTACTTCCAGGTTCAGTGATAACTCATTCGGTACTTCCAGGTTCAGTGATAACTCATTCGGTACTTCCAGGTTCA